AGATCAGTTAACACAATCGATCTTTTGAAATGAAGCACCCCGTTATACATGTCCGAAAATGTCCATTTGAATAAGTTACAAAAAGATAATTAGAATAGAAAACTAATTTTCTGTAGCGTTCGAGTTAGCCGTAACACGGTATTTATTCAATTGCTTTATTAACGTTTCGTTTTAAGATTCAGTTCGATGTTGACGAGGAGGTGACTCTCGAGCAGCTAAAAACGGTGAGTTGATTTCGAAGCATAGTTATCCGTGATATACTTTGACTGCTTTGATTGCTGCTCCATACAAAATTTGAGCAGCCGAAGATCCGTTCATCTAGGAAGAACTGTAGTGTCTAAGGGTAAAGTAAGCTGATTCTCTCTCCGGTGAGATTCTAGACTTCTTGTGCCACAATAATAAATTGTACTTGGGCACTTGGTAGTATCACCCATTCACACTTGGGCATATTCGAGATTGTTCATGAGGTTAGTATTTTGAAAGAAGCCATTTTGGAGAGAAAATAGCGAGTTCTGATATTGAATTGCATCGTAGCTCCACATCGTAGCACCTCTTGCCATTCTTTTTTTTTATCCAAACTTCTTTCGCGCATTCTACCGCCGCTTTTACTTGAACACTGAGAAAAATGTCAACTCTATCCTGTGCTTCCCTGTACAAAACAGAAACATCTTCCCGTGGTGATCTTAAGAAGCTAAAGCGAGAAGTAAGGCTTCTAGAGAGACTTCTTGTGTGTGGATAAATGTAAGCTTACAGCAATCGTTTTGCACTTCGGACGCTTGATTCACGGAATAGTGAACTTTTTACCCGTCTTCTACTGTCGCCGTCACTAGAACATTGAGAAAAATGCTTTTATCTGCAAGTTACTGCAATGTCTGAGAATTTGCTTGGGAAACTCAGTAATTTCCAGCTATCTTTGGACGATGTCTGCACACGTATGGCCTACTGCGCACATTGTGCCTCCGTTGGTGGCGACACCAAACATAGTGCATCGTGGTATACGGGGCTAATGAAAAGATGCCTGGAAGCCGTTGCAACCCATGGTAAGGGTTTTGCTGTTTTTGCTTGTGCTTCCACCAAAGCACTAATTACATCATAGAGTACCCTCGCCCTCACTTGCCATTCGAAGTAGAGCGTTTGCTCGACGACTATTGTGATAAGATAGCTGAGGAACACCGAGCTGAAATTGAACGGAATGCAGTGAAATTGGAAAGGGTTTGTGGTTTACTGTTGTTTATAGCTATAAACAAAAGATTTGCTCAATTAGGCTTATGCCAATGTTTTTGACAATAATATCTTCATTCTCTTTGAATCTAATCTTCAACTTCTATCATCACACAATTGGCTTGCTAGAGTAAATAAAGAGGACAAATAGCCGAAGTAACGACTTCAAAACGATATTGTTGGTTCAGCATGAAACACTGATGATATGATTATTTAACTGATATGATTAGGATACGATTGATATGATGATATGATTACATGGTCATCATGGTCATCCGGTATGATTATTTCAGAACAGCTCCTTGCATCATTGTTTTGCGAGTTGATGCTTTAGACCAATCTTCCCATGCTATGCATCTTTTTTAGGGTGAATCTGCTCTTGGTAAATGTAAGACAGATTTGAAACCAACTTTTCCTGCTGCATCTACCAGATATTGCTTTCTGAATCATTGTGACTATTAATTTTCCTTGCAAATAGAAGAAGCAGAACGAGAGTAAGTCATCTTGAACAGCAGAAGTGTCCTCGGTAATTTGGAAATCGTAATTTTGAATACTTCTAAAAGCTTGCTTACAATCATCTTTTTTTTCTTCCCTTATAACAAAACGGTTGAAGGAAAGAACGTGTGTCGTTCAGCGTAGCGTAGGATGCACGACAACTATATTCGAATGCGTTTATCCAGTGTCTGCTGAAGTTATGTCGAACAACAAGGTGCTGCTCACAGGAGTTTGTGGAGATGCAGATGCCTTCTTTAAGCTTTACCTGCAAAATGTTCACATAAAGCAGAGAAAGCAGTGTTACAAGGTGAACTGTTTGTAATTCTTTTAAATAAGGACTTTAAAAGTTTTAAGCACTTTCTTTTGGAATTTAGAATTGCATATGTCTATCGGTTTCCTACCTCGATCCAAATGTTCTGCACTTTGCGGCTGCTTATGGAAATGCGCAGGTGGGTTTTTATAGATAAAATTTCGGAGTTAGAACGTGCCTGCAAGCATAAAGATTTTCATTGAAACTGCGATTCCCTGAACGGTTTGAAATTCCTTGTCTGATTCCTAATACTTTTGAAAATATGCATCTGCATTCAAATGTTAAGGCAAATTAGCACCTGGTTAGCTTCTTTACTAAATGAATATTGCTAGAATCATGCTTTGTGGTCATCAGTGGCATGAGGTTAGTAAAATACTTGTTACGCTACTACTCACTTGAGAAAAAAGAGGCAGATAGCTACTTTTCAAAACTTATGGTCCAAAGTGAGGGAGAATGTGGAAGGGAGAGGAGAGCTTTCGATATGGTGCATGCGGATCTGTTTGTTGCGAACGTCGTAGCTATATGATATGTATAAGCGCCGCTTAAAAAATATTATTGTGAATATGTATTCGAAGACACAGTAGGCGCAAGATGGTTCCGCTACCCACAACCTTTCGTGTGAGATGTCCGACTAGGGCTGTCGAATCAAACACCGCTCTATAAGATGTTAAGCTGGTACAAAATATATTAATCTTATCTTAGTCTTATATGGTGAATGGTGAATCATGCTACAAAATTTACGTTCTATTGTAAAATTCGTTTTGACTGAAACTTCACCTTTGAAAGGGTAAGCTTTATAGAAGTCGACTAGCATGTTTCGGAAGTCTCATTTGTAAGTGCCAGACATATACTATAGTCGATACTCGGATGATTTTCAAAGCGCTTAGATAACACCATCTCTGTACTCTTATTTCTCACCTCAATTCAACGCATATTGTAAAACTTGTTACTCCTAAAGTCCATGTCTTCATTCCCTAATTTCCAGTTTATCAAGAAGGTTTTATTTCCTGAGGATTCGCTGCCAGAGGACCAACCTCTCCGCGACCACTATAAGGCAAAAATCTATCACTATCTAGTCGTGGAATTTGTGGATGACATTAACTCCATTCAGACCATGATTGACGGCTGGTTATGCGCAGCGATCAGCGCCGGTGGGACCAAAATGTATCCGTTCGATGTCGCAGTATTCTACAGTACTTCACAATTCAAATTAATTTCTAAGTTTTTACTAGCACTGTATGTTTACTTTTTGTTTTAGACTATAAAGATTGTGCTCGAGAACTACTCGGATCTGTAGAGTGTGCGAAAATGTTGCAGGAGCGAAAAGTTGGAATGTCGACTCCAAGATGTTCGATGACGTATAAAGAATATATTGTGAGTTTTAGGGAGATAGTTCATTTAAAATTAAGGGAACATTGGTGACACAACTTTTAGTTCAGCTTCAATTCAAAACAAATGTCAAGATCTATGAGATTTTAGTGCGATCGCACCTCATTATTCCAAATTTTCTCGAATAATCAGTTTCATTTAAACCACGACCTTCATACTTATTAGTTTGCTCGTATCATTAATTATAAGTTCTGAAGCAAATCTTTGGAGTATCTTGCCGCCTTAAAAAGCTTGCAAACAGCCCAACTTTGCTAACAAGAAAAGCAAATAGGTCGATGTAAGTCTTTTACACTGAATGTTCAGTCATTGTTGTGGGATGCTTTTTAAATCTTTTGTATCACCGGCGAGACATGCATTTGAATGAATTATGGAGCCCCCTGAATGACCTTTAAGCTTACAAAAACTGTTTGAAAGCTCAGCATTGAACTAAAAAGCACAATGGCTTGATTTTGCTAAATTTTGTGATGCTCGCTACTAAGGGCTTTTGCATAAATGTTTTGGTCAAATTATTGCCTCGAAACACTTTCTGACAAGTTGTTTGAATTGCTTTTGACAAATTAAAGCGTTTATATGTTTTAGAAAAAGATTCCGCATATAATGATGCCACAGCAATCAGCGTTTTATGTCCCACCCAACAGCAAGCTTTTGTGTTTTCCTTTGTAAAATCTTTTAATTATAAGCTCGTGATTACCACTAGCATAAAACTCTTCATGATCTACTACACATCCAGGAATCTCCGCTCTCACTGGCTGTTTATCATGGAAATTCGGAGATGATCAAAATGCTTCATTCCTGGCAGCTCATACAAGACCAACACTTTCCACAGGCGTTCCGCGAGGCAGCAAATGCTGGTATGATAATTTTGATTTTAAAAATCTATCTAAATAAGACTGAAATTGTGAATTTCTAGGAGATGTTCAAATGCTCATCGAATTATATGAATTGTGTAAAAGAAACTTGAACTTAGTAGTGGAGCAGAACCCGGAGCGTTCGCAGCAAACTCCTTTGCATGTGGCTGCTGCAGCTGGTCACCTAAGAGCAGTAAGCTCAATAGGTGTTCTTCGGAAAATGAATGTTCTCAATTATTTCAGGTTCAATATATGTGTACGTGGGGTGAATCTCTGAGAACTAAACCTGATGCTGCAGGAGATCTACCAGTAACATATGCTATCGAGAACGGACACATGGTGCGTGAGTTTTGGAGCAAATAACAAAACACATTAAAACGCGTTATGTTACTGCTATTGCTTTAATAAATCAACAAAACTGAGGGTGTATTAGCGAGACTGTCCCAAGTGTGATAAATCAGAAAAAAAAAAACAAATCGTAACTTACAAAGCTTCATTCAATTGATGCTACTAGTATAATATAAGGGTTTCATTCCATTTTTGTAGTCGCAACTATCTCATCGTTATTTAGGTTGACCCTGAACAAAAAAATGAGATCACGCTATTTACGCTGAAAGTAATTTTCATGACTTCCCTTAAAGGAAATGCTCGCAGTGAAGGCAGTGAGATCGCGTTTTAAATTGATCTATTAATGTCATCTTTTTTTCAAAAGCCAAAGTCAATTATTTCAACAATTCTTCCCTGTTAACTGGCCCAGACAGCAAGTATTGTTTTCTATCAAGCTATTGAATTTTACTCCTTTCGGTGTGATTTTGAAGCAGTCATTTTTAGC